GCGCGCTAGCCTAAAGCTTTAGCTTTCCGGGGCGGTGCCAATACCGCCGACCCACTTCATCGCCTGTCTTTCCTGCGTTTTTCAGCGGTCTTGTATACACATTAGTAAAACTTCGGGCCTAAGCACTAAGATGACCGTATTTCGTATAACTATCTCGACTACTTGCGCCTTTTTTATCGCTTTAGAAGAAGCGAAAGTGCTGTAAATATCGAGGATTTCGCGTATTCCCAATATGCCTTAATTCGACGATTTTTGTCGCTCAAAATGTTGTTTTTCATGGCTTCCAAGTGGCCAGCAGGGGGACTTATTCCTAATTCTAGGGCCGTGTTGAGGCGGTTCCAATGGCCCCAAAGCACGAGAAAGGAAATACGACCGGTGACGATAATGCTATTGAGGCTCGCGTACGACGCGCGCGCGCGCGGGGGGGTGGTTGAAGAGCATGGGAAAAGGAGCGAGAATTGGAGAGGCGACGGCCATGCCGGCCCGTGCCGCCAGGCCCTACAATAATATAATGAAATTTAGAATGAATATCTTAATATATCTCATGTATATAACGATAAGATCATATATTTTATAAATTCAATAATCGATTAGATTCTACGAGTATTCGAACAAATTCAAATTTTCTCGGATCCAGAATTCGATTAATAAACTACGCTTCATCTTCTTTCCCTTAGCCTCTTTACATGTGCGAGCCCGCAGACTTCTTCCAATCCAAGAACTAAAATACGTACTGAAACTAACGTTCTGCCTATCTTTTGGCTGGGTCTTGCGTGAACTGCAATCAGCAGGCACGACGCAAAGTGGAGATTCGTGCAAAGTCGGGCACAATACGAAGACATCGACCCGTGCTCAGTCACAGCTGAGCCGTGCAAAAGCTGCTCCGAATTAGTAGTTGCCGCTGGGTCGAGGGCTTGCGACTCCCGCCGATGTTATCGAAAGGGCACGCGCGGGCTCGCCTGGTCAGCAACGCGGCTCTGAAGAAAATTTGCAAAACTCTGCGGCTCGGGTGCTGGCTCCACAATTTCCGACAAAACCTGGCAGGACGTGAGCAACCTTGGCAAAGCGCCAATACCCTCGGGGAAGCGCGCTAAGCCAGTATAGCTCAATTCTCCGCCACTGTTGAGGCAGCACCCAATCTCTAGCATTCTGTACCAACTCCTTTTAGTCGGAGCATAGGATAGTCTCAATAATGTGGCTTGATCTTTAACCTGCACTGGGCTTAGACAGTGAGCTGCTCGCGAAGGATGTCCATCGACTCAACCAACTGAGTGGCAAGATTATCATCTGGCCGATTGGACTGGTGTGTGATCAGCACGCCAACCAGGCTGACAAAGTTCATTTTTCGGAGTGCTTTGCGCAAATTGCGGAATTCTCGAGACGGAAAAGATTCAGGCAGTTGCATCGCACTGCTTGACTCCTCCATCAGCTTGAGGATCTCAGCTGCTTCCTTGAGAAAGCCGCAGCGCTCGGCCCTGTCATAGCACAATGGAACTAGCAAACTCAGAAGCTGAGCTTGGCTGCACTGCCGCACCATCATACGCTGCTTCTTATCGAGTTTCGGCATCCTCTCCACATGCGCCATATGGCCGTAGGTGCAGCTCCGTCCATTGGCACAATGTCCCGAAATGAAGTAAATGCACGGCCGGCGACACGTTTCCGGATGACCCAGACTACCCCAAGTTGGAACCAACTGTTGCAACTCTGGTGCCAGCTCTCGGCCTTTGAAAGGCCTGTCTTCCGGCTCGATTTCGGGCTCCTGCCGAGCTTGCCTGAAATCGACAGCAGCTTGAGCAAGGCTGCATCAGTAGGTTCTCATTGAGTTCTCCTCTTGTGCCATCTCCGTGGTGAACATGCTCCGCGTTCTGCCGGGTGGAGCGCTGCGAGCTCGCGCTCTTCCAGGAGACTCCTCGACTTCCTCCTTTGCGTTCAGGAAGGTGTAGCGATACTCAAGCTCGAAGGCCATCTTGCACTTGGGACGCGGCACTGACTAAACCTGTCGGATAGCAAAACTGGCAAAGCCAAAATGGCTCAGAACGGTCAGAGATGCATTGCAGAAAAAAGGCTTTGTCTCGCACATGTCTTGAGGACCCTAGGCTGCAACCGGCGCATTTTATGAGAAGCATGATGTGGGTGGGCTGCACAGCACCATAAACAGCTGCATCTCCATGTCTGGAAACACGCTGCGGCGGCGTCTTCGGCCCGCCTGATTCTCCAAACCCTGCTGCCGTTCGACGTCTTTTGACATTGACGTCGCGGAAGCTCACTGGGTGCGACACTACGACGTAGTTGTTCATAACTCTAGCAGCAGTATGTAGACTGAAATCTGTAGCTGCGTTGGCGCTCATCGGTCCTCCGACGCTTTGGGATGATGCGCCGGTGCAGCATCCAACAATGCTACAAGTAGGAGCTTGATGCCACGATATGCCAGGCCACTGCATGACGACGTTCTGCGCGAACGCCAGGTTTCTAGTATGTGCCATGCTTCAAATGTTGTGCTAGACATTCTCCTCCTCCATACCCGTCTTGAGAACAATCGTAATCGAAGCCTGCGCTGTAGTTCAGGGACATCGAAGCTGTGGCTCCATCATCGCAGAGGTGTGCTATGCAATACTTTGCAAGCGCCAGTCGCAGCCATCTCCCAGAAACAGTGTGGAGCACCTGCATGTATATTGTGCTGTCCAAGAGGGGGCAGAGTCAGGTGGAAAACCCATCAAATCTAACATCACCGATATCTCACCACCAACACACGGGCGGCGACTGCACGGGTCACGATTTATCTTAACATCGCTCAGACTTAGCCATGCTGCGCATCCTGGGCGAGTCCAAGCAGAACTCGTGCTTCTCGGCATCTGCAGCTTCCTGCATGGCTGCAGGCAAACAGTTGTACAAATAAGATCAAGTCGGTATGTTGCGATCTCGTGACTCAGAAGCAAATCCGAAGACAACACTGGGACAGGCTTCTTATGTGCCATGCTCCTGCCTGAGCTTTTCGTTTCAGATGGAGACCACGTGATTGAAGGAATGCTTGTTGATCTGGGAATGCATGCAAGCCCCTGCGCACGAACACGGACAATACCTGGATCTCCGTGGGGTCGTCTGAACCAGAATCACTGATGACAGGTGCGTTTTCAATACTTCAAAGTAGAAAAATACTCAGTCATGATCTAAGGAGCATTGGCCTGCTCTTCCTGAGTCAAGGCAACAAGACAAGAGCATGCAAAGAGCCTGCATATCAGAAATGGCATGTGGTGCACAAGCGATGTGCCTTCGCGTAGTTCTGCAGCGCTGGAACTTTCTCTGCATTCATGTCATCCGGCAGACTATAAGACTGCCGTCGCAGAGCTTCCCTGAGCAGCCTCCAGAAGAGATGTGCTTCTTCAGCAGACCAATCATGGTCGGGCCTGTGAAGTGAGAGGTTCCTGATCTCATATCCGGCCGCAGCTGCTAAAGTATGAAAAAATCGAGGTTCATACTCCACGGCACCATGCCGCGGCCAACATCCAGCAGCTGGAACCATATTGATGATCATTCCACCATCACTTCGTGCAAGGCCGTGTATATTTCGAAAAGCATTGTATTGCGCATGCCAAATATCCAGCCTTTCATAATTTTCCGGCTCATCGATGTACTCGCTCTCACCGATGTGCTCTGTAGTACCGAAATTCGTGACTATGTCGCACTTCCCAAGCAGATAATGGAGGGAGGAGTTCAACGGTCGTGAGAGATCCAACAGCACTGCGCCATCTCTTCCATTGATGTCCAAGCTCACCTTGGCAGCTCACTCTTCGCGTAGGTATGGCGACTCAGGTCCTTGCTTTCGCTTTTCTGCTAGCCGAGGTGCATGCCTGATGCCCAATGCCTCGAAGACCTTCTTCCCACTTGCTAGCGCTGGCGATGGGGTTACGACCATTCCCTGCAAGACGCTCCAGAGATCATGCACGTCGGGCTCGTACCCATGTTCCAGTAAGACACTTAGGGTGGACTTTGTCACTCGCTGATTGCCCAGTTCACATATCAGCACGCCTGGCAGAGAGCGAACAATGCCCGAGATTGCACCTATGCAAATGCCTTGTGGAGCCACACAGCCGTGGCCTCGTTGACCGGGATGTTGCAAGCTCACGGCGGCCAGAATGATCGAGATTCCAGTTCGGTCAATGCCCATTAGGCCGAGAATTGGATGCTACAAGAGCCCTTGAATCAGGAGGGTGTGTTTTTGAAGTGCCAAGAGCAACCCTGGCTATCTGTGTCTTAATCATTCTCTAACCTTCTAGATGCAGAATCTGGCGGTGCCGTGTCTGGTGCACCTAGCAATCTTGAAGCCTTTTGCCAGAACACTGCAGACCCTCAAGTTGTGCTTTGACGTGTGTAACATTCCAGTAAAGCCAACATCACTGTGGATTCGGAACGAATGTCGTATTGACGCATTACATGTTCCGAGACAGTATTTGCCCTTGTCCCAGAAAGGGCTACCTGATCTGCACTTCCCAAAGCAAGCCTTCGCAGCGCACATCCATGACATGCAGAAGTCGGACACCTTACTTTGGTATCTGGCCGCATTCGAGTCTGGTGCTTTGGACTGTGCACCGAGCAAGTTTCGCTCTGGAGCAGAAAGGCCATTGAGGGGCGCTTGTGGCCTTGGTTGCAATGTTTTGACAGTTGTCCTTCCATATCATTCATGCATAATAAGCCCTATACTGCATACCGTTTTTCCGTCTCCATCGTTGTCTGGGTCGCAATTTACACCAAGTTGGTTGCCTAGCTACTGTCAGCAGGTGTGCACAGCTCGCGGCTGCCAAAGAGCCCCTTGTAAGTCCTACTTTGACCCTGGAGATGATCCACGCACTGTGCACTGCCTGCTTTCGCTGGGATCGTGAGACATATGCAACGAGGTTTGAAGCGGCTGCGAGATTTTAGCATATTTTGGCATGAACCTGGGCGCGCCATGGAGCTCCAAACGTCGTCTCTATCTCATATGCACATTATTGCTATTTGGACACAGCCAGAGGTCAGTGCAGCAATCGATAGGGCCCATTCTGTGAAGACCAAGCTGCAACACCCTGGCGTTGTCGCCGTTTGTCTTAGTGACTTCTGGCCTCTGGGAGGTTACGATTCCACGACCACGATTTCAGTCGTCTGTCATGACCTGGCCAGATCAGAGGTGCACGATTCTGGAATTCGGGTGAACTTTGAGTAGGCTTTAGACGTTAGCTGCTAACGCTGCTAGCGATTGACTTTACTTGTTCCAGGAGCAGTCCGACTGCCTTCCTGCATTCTCCGAATCTGTTGCTTTCTCCTCAGAATGACTTGTGTCAAGCCTTGCGACGAGAGCTTCATCCACTGAGGATCCCTGTCCCTTCTGTTCCAAGCACAGGAAGCATCGACTTCTGGCATACAGCCTTTCGGGATCTTGAAGTCGTCACCTGAGATGCTGGCGAGTGCGGCCCCGGCAAGAATCCAGCGCTTCTCGTCATCATCAGGATCCATTCGCACATTAACCTGGTCAGAGCAGTGCTTGCTTTCGTCGATACTTGTATACGGCGCCTGCGTTACGTATGTTGCTCCGCGCTCCGGGGTGATGAAGACAGGGCAGTGGTACCTTGCTTGCTCAAGGGGCTACTTTTGAAGCTGAAGTAGTCGATGGGCAGCATGCGCATCAGGGAACTGATCCAACTCATTTTTCTCACTTACAGCCACATCTGCCGACGAAGAGTTTCAGGAGTGCCAGCAGAGCAGGCTCAATCATGCAACGATCAGCCGACCGTGCAGCACAGCATAGATTCGGCATAGATGACCAATGACAGATGTGGAACTGGGCTAGAAACACTCGCTGCTGCACGTGGCTGCAAAGAGTTAGTCCTTGCTGCTCGAGGGAACCATCCCTGAAAGCTTGCGCTCTTGGCGATATTTTGGGGCAGCGAATCTGGCAGGAACAGTTCCAAGCAAATCACATTAACAGTTGCACCTGACATGACAGGCAGAGCTGGAAAATCGTTGCTCTGCAATGTATGTGCGCACGACAAAACGGCGATTAAACAGTTCAGGACTTGCAACTCGCAAATCACGTGGTTGACAACTCTCTGCAGGAAGAGGGTGCTTGGCTCCAATGAAGGCCGCTCTCACTGGTCCAAGCATTAAAGACGACTTGAAAGAGTCTCCGGCACGTTGCACTCAAGTCGCTGTACCCTAAGCTCCGGTCCTGCTGCCTTCATCCAGAAGCGATGTCGCTCACCTCAGCGGTTGGGAGTCAGCGACGGCAACCGCCCCCTTGTACGATACGGGACAACATGCAACGAAGGTACCGTTCCTGCCGGGACAGGCTTCATGGTGTTCATCACCGGGCAACAGAAAACATGACTCCTGCAGCCAATTCAGCGAAAGTTTTAGGTGCTGCGAGACTGAAATGCATGACGATGCAGCAAATTTCAAACATAGCTAACCGATGGCATTCTGATTCTGCCGGCTTGCAGTCTGAAAAGAGTCCCTGCAAGGAGCCGAAGAGAAGATCCTCGCTCCTCTTCGCCCAAGGGGCCGCCGCCCGGGCTGGCCGGGCTGAGAGGCAAGGCCCGGGCCCACCAGAGCGGGCCAGAGCTCCGCGACTTGGCCAGGTCGGGCAAGGCACAGATCCGTGGCAGGCTGCTGGCAAGCTCATGGATCACGTACCTTGCAGCTGAAGGTATCAAGGAAGCCCCTCCTCCCGTCAGACACCAAAAAACGCAGCCGTGGGTGCCACTGCGCAAGAGTCAGCTCCAGCTCCTGCTGCCTGGAAGGCAGCAGGCATCGCACTCATCGCACTCCGGCACTACAGTTTGGACTCAGACTCTCGCACCTGTGCATCTCGAGGAAGTCTGATGGTGTTGCCCACGCCAGGTCCCATGCATCAGATCCAGCACTGTTTGCCCAACATGCCTCAGGGATGGCCGACGATACCAGTGTTCCTAGTGACTAGTGGCATATGGCGGCTCGTGCACAGATGATCCCAACACTAACCGGCACCCCGCGAGACACAAATTCAGACACAGCTGTGCAGGCAAATCGCCTCTTCTGCATCGGGAATTTGCACCAGGAAAATGTGCTCTTCACCGTGTGGCCCTGGCATCAGAAACCATGAGAGCTCGAAGAGATCTTCTGGTCCTGGGACTGTTCGTCAAACGCCATGTTATCTACAACAGTCTAGCCTCAGATTGAGGCCAAGAGTCGCAGCCGGATGCCCCAGTCGTCCAGAAACGCATGGAACGCCATCGGGCCCTCTCGAAGCAGTATCTTTTGCAGCTCTTGCCGCGCAAAGCTTGGAGGTGGATTCGCTGCCACCATGATGCCAGCAGCTTCAAACCTGGAAGAGTTTTCCAGAAGACCCCACCAGAAAAAGGTCCCGGCAAGAGGACCTCAGAGGACAATACACCTGTGAAAGGTGAAAGATCCTCCGCCGAGGCGCGTCCTGCGGATGGCAGCGAGCCTCAGCCCCAGGAAGACCTCCAGTCAGGGAAGTTGGCTCGGCCCTGTGTTGCCTTCTCAAGGACTGTCAGGGACCGCTGTTGCCTTGCACCCTCTTTTCTAGGGCCACTGCCTCATCGCTCTTGCTTGCATCTACGAGGTTGTTCTTGGCGAGGTAGCGATCTGCCGAGGACAAGGATCCTCCGGGGAACATCGCCTGAGCTGCTCTCTGTCTCGCAGCTAAGTAGACAAGAACTCGCTCTGATGGCAACAGCAGGCACGGTTCCAGCGTTCCACCCAAGGCTAGGGTCCCGTGCCCTTTTGCGTTGTTCGTCAACTCGGCTCCGCAGAAAGCAGATGCAGTAGTCCTGTTTCAACAGCTTGTGTCTTGACGAACGATTTCAGAGCTTGCTTGTCCTTGCAGCTGCAGGGACGATCACGTAGCCGTTTCGGTGCTGACACTTCCAGTATCATAACTGCTGGAGCAACTATTTTCACGAGAGTATTTCAAAGTCAATACCCTCCCATGACTCCAACGACCCCGCTGCTATCTGCGAAGTCCGTGCACTCAATGGGTGTGCAAAAGAGCCGACAGCCTCCTTGCCGCAGGTGTCAAAGACTTGTTGGTCCTGCAGGACAGACCCCTCCTACGCGAAAGAAGGCGGCGGCCAAAACATGCAGCAAGGTCCAGCCTTTGGCAGCCAAGGTCTCGGACACAGCACTGCCAAACCCGCCCAAGGGGGCTCTGGTTTCACCAGCAGGCCGTGTGTTGCGAGCATGGCGTGCCAAAGCAGACTGCTGGAGCTACTGCCGGATTCGTGCGAATGCGGCTAGTGGGTTCGACCGGAGGCCGCCCTTTCTTTTGCGCTTGCTTGCTGTGATGCTCAAGATCTGTTGCGCTCATCTGGTCAATGCGAAAGGCATGCACAAGCCAACATACGACGAAATCATAAAGAAGGTCGCGGTACATATGCAAATGGCTCTTCTTGCAGGAACGTAGATCAGAGCCATGGGACTACTTACCACTGACACTGCGAGAGTGGCACAGGCATGCCCTCCCAAGGAAGGGCACATGTTCTCCCAGCTCATTTCATTGATGTGGACTGAGAAGATGTTGATCACTGGCCTCGGGGAGGCATCACAAACTGTGGAAACGATACAGTCAAAAGATTACCGGCTCGTAGCTCGCTTGGTCATCCGGTGCAACAGCTCAGAACATAATCAATATCGGCTGTCCAGAACTCCAGGAGGCGCACATCTCTGGATGAAGCTCTTTCATCTTGCTGTCAGAGATATAGCCCTGCACGTGACAGAGTGTGCCACGAATCTTCCAGCGAAGGCGAAGACTGAGTCCAACCTCGTCGTCGCCTTTGCCTTCCTCCCAACTGGCGCCCTCCAGGAAGAGCCTGAATGCCAGCACGCGACCCAAGACGGCTCGATCTCTGCCTCTGCCTACGAGTTTTGTGGGTTTGAGAGGGGGAGGGGGGGGGGTGGGATTGATTGATGTCTACCCGGCTCGCTTGGCCAGGGAGAGCTCCCATGCCACCCTCAACCACGAACCATTCAAGCAGGCCGATCCCAAGCAGTCAGATCCGGCATCTGCTGGGATCTCAACCCGTGTATGTGGACACCATTCACTGGCAAGCCAACGATGTCGGTGGAGTCCTGATCTAGAAGGGCACATGGAAGATCAATGGTGGAATGCAATCTGTGCATGCACCCCTGCAAGACAGCAGGCAGTCCAGAATGTTAAGGATGGTTGCTCTGTTGGTCATGTAGTCCAGCGGAAGCTGCTTGTTTCTGGCTGTTACCTGGCATGAACAGACTGGCACTCTCCCCCCTAATTAGCCCAACATTCCCTGCGGATCTCCCGGCCAACTTCTTCGAGGCATCACGGGGATACGAGATAGCTTCAGTGGCAGTTTTTGGGCCCTTTGACCTGCATGACCGCTGTCAGGAACGCCATGGGGTTGAAGAGCCCCGAGATCCAAATCCTCGTCTCGTGTCTTGCTGTCGAGACGCGGGCATAGGAAAGGTTTAGGGTTTAGGGTTTAGGGTTTAGGGTTTAGGGATCACTGAGTCACGTTTCTCCAAGGCTCGACTTAAGCAGGCCTGATCTCTCGTTGGTCCACTCCACAAGCCTGTAGTGGACACTTCTAGGTAATGGCTGCATCGCAAATTGAGCCGCTGGGGCCCTGGCTGTTCCATTCGGCTGAGAAGATCTGCAAACCAGCCAGACAGCGGCTTCAGGGAGGGATAGGCCAACTTCTGCCTGGGGAGGACAAAGACGGGCAACAGCACGGCAGCATGAGCTACAAGGTGCCACTTGAGTCTCCTACCAGCTGTCATTCACACGGTTCAGCTGCAGGGACGTCGAAAGAGCTTCCATCCCTTCGGTGATGTTTAGAGCGCCTCAAAATGATGCACAAGTCGCGACTGACGCCAGGTGAAAGCAATCACTTCTCTGCAAGGCTCCCACCACTGATGCCCAGCTCAAGCTCTGTTAGAGAATTTCTTATCATCCCGACAAGGACGTTCATGCGGTCGCTCTCCTGGGAAGTCGGTCGTCGGTAGAAGTGCACCGCTTGACTTGGCAGGTAACAGCATCGACTTGATCCGTCCTGCAGAGATGTGATCACGTATGGCGTATAGTCCTCCTCCCGCAGCCTGCCTGTGCGAAGTGACAGATGTGTCTCGCCCTGAAATTGCACCTTTGCTGACACAATCGGTCCGTTCGGTCAGGAGACCCCGTATCTCTGGCATGTCCAAGTCTGGAGGCAGCTCGTCTTTGTACCTGCGGTATCGGGTGCATATGCCTTGGGGCACTTAGGGGTTGGGAGTTTATAATCGAGGTTGTAGCAATCAGGCTTGAGATCGTCGTAACGATGATCCATAGCATAGCAGCCCAGAGTCAGGAAAATGGGGACTGGTGGTCCAATATACCATTACGGACTGGGGGCAGCTTTCTTGCAACTTGCTTGGGCACGGGTCGGGGTTCAAGCCACCCCAAACTCCCAAACCCTAAACCCCAAACTCCCTAAACAACCTAAGCCCTAAACTCCCTAAACCCCAAACTCCCTAAATCCAAAACTTCCTAAACTCTAAACCAGCCCCTAAACCCTAAAACCCGGCATCCCAGAGGTATGCAAAGACCCTAAACCCTAAACCCTAAACCCGACACCCTAAATAGGCGCACTTGGCAATCAGGGGGATGCAGGCCAAGAGGTCCACGGTGGCGGCCTCGGCCAGGTGCCGTCAAAGGACGACTCCAGTTTGCAGCACATGGGTAGTTGTCAAAATTATGGTCCCTTTTGGGGTCCCCTAAATAATAGGTGCCGTATTCTAATAAGNNTAATTTTGACAACCACCCACATGCAGTAACAGGAGTACTAATAAGTAAAAACTACCAATGACAATACGAATAACAATTCACTAGCTTTTTTGTATGATAACACTTGCACGTAATGACAAAAACATGATATACTCTGCTATACTAGGCAGATGAAGGCCTGCACCAAATTGGACCGGATCTTCACGCCAAAATGATTGTGAGGCCATGACTCGGCGCTCTGAGATTCCGAGATGTTCCGAGGGCCCCACGCCGCTGTCCGCTCCAGAAACCATTTGAACCTCAAGTTAAGGAAATCTTGAAGGCCGGTGCAACCGAGCAGATGTGCTTGCAACTGCAACTTCAGGTCCGAACAGTCTTGAAAATATTGATGCCCTGACCTCCATACACCAAGGATCAGACATGAATCCCTCCACATCAGCAAGCGAAGCATTAAGCACTTCAGCGCCAGGCTTGTGAGGAAGCCAATCTCGGCATTGGGATGCAAACCTCCGAGCGGTGCAAAGCAAGCGGTGGCTTTCACTTTTTCTCAGATGACTTTCGGTACGGCTCTGGGCTCAGTGCCGAAGAGCTGGGGCATCTCTGTCGGAAAGCGCTCCTGTGTAAGAGTCTCATCGGAAGCAGTAACGGAGACATGAAGCCGGCAGCACTGTCATCAGAAAATGCCGCAGAAGGCATCCTCGATGTATTTCTGGTACGAGGCGTACCTCAGCAAAATGCATCTCGACTTTGGCCGGGCCCTGGCCATGCCGTGAGCCCAACTGAGCACGGGACTCCATCTTTGAGGCGTCCGGAGACTTCAGACCGGGTGCCAAGGACATGTTGCTGAGCAGCTCCGGAATCACCAGAGTCACGAGGTACCTGTTTAGGGTTTAGGTTTTAGG